GAGACCCCCCCCCCCAAAAGGGACGGATACGGCGCATCCCACTTTGCAAGAAGGTCATTGATGGAGGGTAGGATGGAAATCCACGCAGTAGTGAGCTGGAACGATTGCAAAGCTTTGGCCCGAGAGGGGAGTTGAACCCTCCTTGGACTAGCGAGAGACAGACTCGATCGCCTTGCGCCATCCGCCGCTTATCAACGGGTACCTTTCTGAGCTAATTGAGCCTGGCGCCGCCGAGGATCGACAGGTAGATACAAGTTAGCCAACTGGTAGAAACGGTATGAGCGAACCTGTCGATACATGACCAGCGGCGTGGCAAATCATCATCAAATATCGATCATCTCTACATCCAGTTATCTCTATTCACCACATGGATCCACCGGATTAGGTGAGTATTTTTTATATATTGGTGCGTTTTTCTATAAATCAGTGTTTTTGTTGGCTCGCCTTCGTTTTATTGCAATCTGAGTGTAGTGCGATTATTCTATTTCACACCATTGTCTGCACTCATACTCAGTCTATTTTGGTTATCTCCGATTGCACAAAACATATCCCTCGAACAAGTTTCTCTCTTTAGCAACTTTCTCCAAAATCCCGTTTGTTTGCAGTCTTCTATAAAGGTGCCGTGTTTTGATAGTGTTTGCGCTAAAATCTTTCATATATACAACTTGAATATTAGTTCTCTATCTTGATCCATCGTACTACTTCACAAATAACAAATTCCAGTATCGCTAAAATTTTTATGCCAAAACCTATCATTTCTTTTCCAACCAAGTCTGCCCAGAAATTTGGATCGCAATTACAAAACGCTTCCTTGTGCGCATTTTCCTTTCTTGTGCTCTAGCCTCCTGTCACTCATGCTAGCCCGTTTCCTTGTGCTAACTTATGCAAACTCACAACTCTTTCTTCGTCGTAAACAAAGCTCGCGAGCAAATGCACATCCTTCTTTTCAACTTTGAATTCTTTTCATGCTCCGAATCGTAAACAACCATGCTTCCCAAGCGCGATAGCATCTTTGTTTCTTTATTCGAGCAAACCTTTCACAAAGCACTGTCTTATCTAAGCTTTCATCAAGCACATGTTGCCAATGAAAGAAACAAAGATGCAGCGCGCACATAGAGCACATACCATCGAGGATAGTATATAATACCCAGACTCAGGAAACCGGCACCCATCCCACAGCTGAGGACCTGGAGGAGCAGCCCTTTCTCCCTATTCAGCTCAACATCGCACGGATCAACACACGTTCCCGAGCTACAACGCAGGACAACACCGACTCTTCTTGATTGTCACCTCCAGAAACAGTGAGTTCAGTTCGGTTTTATTCACTGGTGCAGGCATGGCCTCACCAGAGGTGAGTGTTTTAACGCAGACTTATGGCGGGCTTACCCTCGGGAAGCTCGCGCCCAAACGTATTGACTTTTTCTTGGGTGACAACACCCAAGATTTGAACGAATGGCATCGTCAATTCGAGGATCTCATTCGCAATTCCATAGTGCCGCTTCCTGAGCAATGTAAGGTAAATGCGCTGTACGCTACTCTAAGGGGGGATGCGCGTGATATCATTAAGGAAATGCCTCCTGAGGACAAAAGCAGCTACGAAAAAGTGGTCGCATTTCTACGTATGCATTTTGAATACTCGCATTTTTGTGCGTTAGCTAGACAAGAGTTGTTAATTGTAAGCAAAAAGAAAACGAAGATGTGCATCCATTTAGTAACCGTTAAGAGAGCTGTTAAAAGTTACTAAAAGGGGCGCCTAAAGACATGGTACAAGACAGACTTTTGGAAGAATTTGTGGAGAGTTTGCAGCCAGACTTGAAATTCCATATCAAGTTCGTTAGATCCCGCGACTTTTGATGAGGCTTTGAGAAAGGCGCGTGCATATGAGTCTTTTTGCAATGAAATGTCCGACGTTATGGTTTACCATCCAGGTCTAGTATTTACGGTTATATCTATCAGGTAAGTATATCTATATATACTCACACGTTATTCCTTTGCTTTCTTCTAATAAGTTCCCTTATTCATTACTCATGTAATGTTGCAATCATCTACGTTTCCCATATACTTTGTTTACAGATTGCTCTGCGCCGTCGCTCGCCAGATGCCACTAGATAAGGAGGGAGGAGCGGTCTGGAGACAGTGAGGAACCGACGACCAACGAACCACCTCGTCTATGGGCTCAGATCTCTTTATTCTTGTGCTTTATTGTTGATTGTTTTCCCGGGATATCGATACTCTTATTGTTTTGGTGTTATAACGATAAACGCGTATGTTGGAAAGTGTTTTTGGACATGTCCGAGGCTAAGTTGTGATCTAGTATGGTATCTGCCATTAAGAGGGTGGCGGCATATCCATAAGTTCACTAGTGCTCATTTCGAGCAAAATTACTCACACAAAAATACAGTAGTACAAAAGAAATGTTTTCACATTCATTGGAAAAAAGTTATGAAAGAACAATGACTACGAAAATGGTATCGCAAGCCCAGTAACAAAAACATTCTTATAAATTCTTGGTCCGCGCACCCAAGTAGGACAAAGAATGCTATTGTTGGTAACTTGTACTAAATGGCAAATAAACCTACAAAACAGCCGTTCAGGTATTTTCTGGCGGCGAAGAAGCTCATGGTCCGTCGGCGTCGCTCAGAAAATTGCAGCTTTCAACAGTTATGCTATTCGAGGGCACATCTTGAGAGCACGTTGGTGCTCTCGAAATAGCCCGTAGTTTGAGAAGTACCACAAAATCCCTTTTTGCTTGCCATTCAGCTCTTGTGAGAAGAATCGTGCAGTGCGGCGATGCGTACATCAGGCGTTGTCAAGATCGATATTCCTCTGCAAATCTCATCTGGTAATGAATTCGAAACCGTGCTTAGAATCGCTTCTGTCCAAGTCCTAATTGCGTGGTTTGCCATTCGGTAAGGATAAATGCATGCTATCCGATACTGTATATCTATCAAGTGTTGAGCGCTGAGCTACATACATTGGTGAAACGGGCCGATCTCTTCATTGTCGTTGCAAGGAATATATAGGCGGCTTAAATAAGTCAAATGCAGCTACTCCATTAGGAGAGCATCGTTTAGTGCGCCATAATAACGCTGAAATACAAGTTGCGGTGCAAATCTTGTCGTGTAAGCGAGATCTTTGCGCGCAAAACGTTGAAAACGTGTTGAGTGAAAGCTAAAAATCCAAAAATGAGTAGAAAGGAGGAGCATATGGCCATCACCAAACTGGCGCCTTATTATTCCTTCACTTGAATATGAGGTCAGGTTTTTCAAAAAATCTAGACTAAGCGGCTGCGCCTCAACATCGGTGTTTGTTTCAATCGGGTGGAGGACTATATGTCGCCAAATTTGGAAGAGTCCCGCGCGGATTTCCTGCAGGAACGCATGTCCGCGCGTGAACAAGGCAAATGACCGCAGGGACCGCCCTTTATCGGCATATAGTCCTCTACCCGTTTCAATCATTCGTGGCTAAATTTCTTTCGATGAAGGCAATCGTCAAAACTTTGCTCATTTCTGTAATAGTAAAAGTAAGGCCTCCTGCCGACAGTTTTTGTGCAAAAATGTTTAGCTGCTCAGTAAACAGGAAAAAAACTCCATGCTTGGGACCTTGAAGTCGAAAAATGCTGAAAGTGACAATTTTGGATTTTCAGCTTTTCTTTCGCTAATCTTCCTTGTACAGGCCTTTTTCATGTTCCTTTTTGTACTGATTGTCTGCAGCTACAAGACAAGCACCTTATCATTTACACTAACAAACTTTGAAGGGAGTTATGATCTGTATCTATTGAAGATAAGGTTCCAAAGAAACTTCTTCGTTTCTTTATATATACAGCTGAATATGTGTCTGTCTGTCTGTATGTCTGTGTGTACGTATGTGCGAAATAGAAATTCTTACTTCTCAACCGATTTGGACCAAATTTGGCACACAATTCGGGGCAGGGAGCGTGTCATAGGCTACTTTTCGTTATCGACTGATATCGATTTTATCGATTTTCATCGATTTCTTTGCAGAGTTCACCTACGGGGCGGGAGTTGGCACAAGAGGGTAAATGGGCATGCTTACGAATACAATATTAGTTTTTGGTATTACCTGCTACTTTTATCGATTTTTTCAAAATTTGAGTCGAAGGGCTGGGGGTTGGCACAGGGGGGTAAGTGGGCAGGCTGATTTCGAAAACGACACAAGGAACGGGAAATGAAGTGTAGAAGTGGGCACAGGGAAAGGCTTTGATAGGGATGGAAACTTTATTACAGTGTTGGGCCGAGCGGAGCCGCTCAGACAATCGCTGGGGGCAGGCGGGCACCGGAAAAATAGATTGCTGATTTTTCGCACCCCGCTCGCGGATTTTTTGCAAAGCGATCAGGACTTTTCGGACCGCTTGCTGAGTCAGCAGATTTTTGAGAGACCGCCTGTTGAATTTTTTTTCGCTCTTATCTTTTGCAGATATATTGCTGAATCTCTGAGGAATCGAGAACTCAGCAAGCGGTCTTCCGAAAAGTCCTGATTGCTTTCCAAAAAATCCGCGAGCGGGGTGCGAGAGATCAGCAATCTATTTTTCCGGTGCCCGCCTGCCCCCGGCGATTGTCTGAGCGGGTCAAGCTAGTCAATCCATGTTTTTCCCATTTGAGGTATGAGTGATCTGATCTGTACTATGCAAGGTTTGTTCTCCGGTAGTTTTTATCGCACTAAAAACTATAGATTTTCTAGAGAGTTATAGCATGTCAAGATGAGAGCTCGCAGAAGGCTCATTATTTTTGCACCAACTAAATACCATTGTTATTAATCAATTTCCGAGTTTTTCGCAGCATTTAATGATTTGGTAAGGTGCAATCCCTGGCAAAGTTTATTTCCATTCAGCTCACAGCACTTACAATTAGATTAGACCGCTGTGCAATGCTCGACTGCACGAAGAGAAACAAATTCCAGCAAATGAAAAGTATGACTGGCTTGTTAAGCAGCAAACTATGTAATCGCTAACCTGTGAGGAAGGTTCATTTTAGCTAAGTCAGTTTTTATAACAAATCATGGAAGGCAGCGATGATGACGAGGTGCAATTATAAGGTAACCACTGCTTTTCAACTCAGTGGATTTCAGGTCACACTCACCTACATAATTTTAAGTCTCTTTATCAATATATTGTTATTACTAGCTAGTATCTATCAGCTTCGCGCACTTTATAAAATAAAGAAACGTAAAGATTTGGCAAAAATCAACAAAGCTGTAGGGAAAGCAAAAAAAGCTCTCCGTTGTGCAAGAGTGAGTCTGCACGATTGCTTTAAACTCAATAAAAGTTGGCTTTCCAGTGGTCAGCAGTAGAGATTGCAGTGTTGGCAGCACAAGCAGGCATGACTATCAACGATATCAGAGAAGAATATGCAAAGGACGCTGCTGGCCGACAGGAAGTTCTCACGTTAGTACTTTTGGTCATAAATAAGCTCTAAATGTACCTTTATATGATAATCTAGGTCGGTGCTTGGTAGTGGCAGGAACAACTTTGTAAAGAAGTTTCTTCATAGTTACCCATCACGATTTCTCAAGTCAGGTTACAAGCTAGAACAAGATTTCATAAAGTTAGCAGAAGAAAACTTTCGTACAGCGCTAAGTAATAATTCAGTCATGAAGATGGAACCCAAATAAACATCGTCAGTTTTGTCGTTATCTTGAGACCAGTGCGAGTTCTGCTCTCCCGCTTCCCTCAGCTTGCATATTAATGATTTTGAAACTTACTACGCATTTCAACTCAATTGTAAGCAACCATCTATTTTTAGAGTCTTTTCATGTAGGATCGGTAACATTGAGTGTAAAAAAACTTGTTACGGAAAAACAAATGCGAACTTGAATTAATTTATTTTTTCTTAATAGTTGCTTCAAAGGCAATTATCATTGTGCGCTACATCTCCGATTGAAAATGCTCTCAATTCCTTCAACGAAATTGTGGCAAATTGCGATCTGAGCATTTTTTTCGGTGCTTTTTTTCAAATATATAGATTTCTTGATTGCTTCTGGACCAGAACCAACAACATTTACTCGTCAAACAAATTCATAACTTTGCAAGGGTTTGGATGCAGACTTAGTTTTGCGGGCCAAAAGCGGGCCCGTACGACGTGCACTTTCCGAAGGATGCTCGTATTGAAGCGGTTCATCCTCGTGCATGGTAGACGTCATGCTCGGTGGGTGTTATGCAGAAAATCGGCGCGAGAGCCTTTCTGTGAGCCCCTACATCAATTTCGTGAAAGACAGACATACAGACACACGCAAAAAAGACAGACGTTAGCGCTCTATAATAAGTCATGATACTCTGCCCTTGTATGACGATTTTGCTGCCCCTTATAAAAAAGTAGGATAGCTAGGATAAATGATAAAGTAATACCACATTCTGAGAACACTCTAAATTTTTGTAAAGTTCTTCCAACATGAAATCAATCTTCCTCTTACTTTCGCGTATTGCGCTCACAGTTATTTTGTTCTGTCAAAATAGAGGGCTGCGCCAAAATAAGTTCGCCACAGATTGCTTGAAGCACCACTCTGAATATTGCGTTAGCTCTACCAAGGGAATCAAATCTATGAACTGATTAGAGGTATGTCGGAACAAAACGAACTTTACTTCCCCGCTCAGTTGGGCTTATTTGCAAGGCTAAATCTGAAAATCCCTAAAGAGCGTCAAACGGCAAGAACAGGCTTTTATGAAAGCGAATAACTAACAATAAGACGCAGAGCCCTTGTAAGACTCTGCGACTTTAACTGTGGCGACATGCGCACTCTACCGCTAAGTATGTCCTCCCATTATGTCCTCTCATTCACAACTGAGCGTATCTCTCGTTTGGAGTTCAACGCTGTCGCACTTGACCACACCAAAGCATGCAGAATTGCCCGGCCGCGTTTGATTAATTCGGAGATAAAGTTTTATCGAGTGTCACGGGCGCGGCTCACGGGTCTTCGCGAGCAGCCTCGCCTGGACCACTCGACGCGTATGCGTATGCAGTGTCTCGGGGCATTTGCCGAAGCTCATCAGCTATTGATGCCTAGAAATACGGTATCTCCTGCGTTTCAAACATGGTAAAGCAGGACTACTGCATGACGAAGGCGCAATACATTTGAGCACGCGGCTTTAGTGATCGCGGAGCGCATGAGGCGCATGGTTTACAGCAGCGAAGATAAGCGCGCGCCGAGTTTTTCCGCTCAGCTGCTTCGCGCCTTCGTCGTGCAGTAGCCTCTCCCGTATCCGCTGTGGGTGGACGCAGCGAGAGGCCCACGCGGTGCGGCCCGCGACAACCCAAGCTGCGCAGCCCGTGACACTCAGACTGAACCCCTGTACTGCATTTAAGTCAGCATTTTAGACCTTGGAAAGGTGTTGTCATGTAGTCAATGTATCGGCTTTATTAGTGAAGGCTTTACAATCTGGTAGCTTTGGTACTGGCTTCCGTCTCGGGCCTTGCGCCTGTTCGCAGATACCTTCTGCACACCTTACGCGGCATTCGAAGTTTCAGCACTCCAAAATGTAATTAAAACGAAAGCAGCACTTAAAAAGCACTGCTTTCGTTTTAATTACATTTTGGGAAAGATTCTGTATTTTCGATGGTATCAAGTATTATTGTTTTCCTTCTTTGCTGCAAAGTGTTTGGTACTATGGACACTTCATCAATAAGATAGATTTACATAAACAAAAAGACAGGTCTAAATTGTCATATAGTGTGCATCCAAAATAATGTGGATTCAAATTTATCATGTGATGATAAATTTTTCCATCATTATAGGACTATTGCATTGTTACCATTGTTTGGGTCACATTGATCGAAAGTGAAGAGTTTTGGTAGAGATAGAGAAAGAAACAATTCCATGCCCAAAAATAATATGAGTTAATCAACAGTTGATATACATATGGGCGACGGAAGAGGGCGGCATCATCGACAACTTAGAAGAAGGCTTGTAGTCTTGCTCAGACAGCCGATCGGACCCCTCCGGCGCAGAAATGGCAGGGCCGCGGGGTTTTCCCAGCGGGAGGTCTGCCACTCGTGCGCCGGAGCCCCCCGATTTTGTGCGCCGGAGCCCCCCGATTTTCTGCGCCGGAGCCCCCCCCCCCCCATTTTGTGCTCCGCAAGTCTGCCGCGGCATACTGTAACTAACCCTAAATAAGCTCCAAACCCCAATTATGTCTCTAAACCCCACCCAAATTAGCCGAATACGACCCCCCCCCCCGGGTAGGACTTCAGCGCGACCCTCACCCCCGTACTCTACCCCTCCCTCTCACCCCTAGCGTTTGTAGATAGAAAATAGAAGAATGAAGACAAGACGAAACATTTATTTAAAATTGACTGCAAAACGATTTACTGAAAATTGCAGTTGTTTTGATTTGCATCCAATTCTGTTTGTGCCAGATGTGATGAGATGCAGTTCGATCACTACGGGCTTGGTTAACGGGAGGAACAGCTCCGGTCGAGTTCAACGTTGTGTGGTCCTCGAGCGATTCTTCCAGAAAACACACTCTGGATAACATTGGTGGAGTGGCCGTGGAGGTTAATCGGAATTTTTTTAGTGATAGGTGTCGTAATTTGTGGTTTTTCCAGGTTTATAAGTGCGAAGCTCTTGCATCGAACTGGGCCGATGTCTTACGCTGAATGCTGAGAAGTATGAATGTGGCTGGTGTGTTATAGACAACAGATGTGTTAGACCAATGACATGCTTGGCAAGATCACCACAAGATTTGCTGAATAGCACGCAGCTGTGTGCAAATCCAGCTAATGAAGACTTCAGTCCTAAAAAGGGACCCGTCGGTGGAAAAACGAAGGTTAGGTCTACTGCTGCTGCGTTCACCTGTGGAATTATCGCTTTTACTAGCGAGAAAGTACTATCAGGTGGGGTGACCATGTGTAATGAGACTAGTGAACCAGTAACTAAACGTACCTTGCCAAGCATCTTGCCAAGCATGCCATTGGTCTGACACATCTGTTGTCTTTAACACACCAGCCACATTCATACTTTTCAGCATTCAGCGTAAGACATCGGCCACAGTTCGATTTGAGAGCTTCGCACTTATAAACCCGGAAAAACCACAAATTACGACACCTATCACTAAAAAAATTCCGTTTAACCTCCACGGCCACTCCACCAATGTTATCCAGAGTGTGTTTTCTGGAAGAATCGCTCGAGGACCACACAACGTTGAACTCGACCGGAGCTGATCCTCCCGATACACCAAGCCCGTAGTGATCGAACTGCATCTCATCACAAGCACAAACAAAATTGGATGCAAAATCAAAGCAATTGCAATTTTCCTCATATCACATTGTCGTCGAATGTCCCGACAGCAGGTTTTTCGCGTTCAACGTTTCCTACTTTGAAGTGACATCGAAAATCCGTCATGAAGATCGGACCGAGGTTTTGGACCTTACAAATCCAAGCTCAAAAATGAGCACTTCGTAGAATGTACCACTCACCTTCACTGTGATATCTCTCCTTTCACCTGCAGCTACGTAAAGTTTGGTTTGCGGTGCGACAGTACGTGGACATTACTGTGGACCTTTTCTCCTAGAGTGACCCTCACGCTGGAATGCAAATTTGAAGGCTTATCTATCATCAGAAACAAGGATACAGACTTTACCTGCATATTATGACTTTGTGCAAAGTCTGAGAACTTAGAATCTCGAAAAAAATGAAAATTTCTTGAGCGCCTGTCACAATTTCTAACAGGTAAACTGTAAGTAGACGATATACTGAAAAATGTGAAAGAGTTGCATGAACTTGCATAGCAGATCTGCATTTAGCAGTGCGACAGACTACCCGTATAAGATATTCCCTGAGACAGAGCCAAGCAGTGTACGGATAATTCTAGCATCAATCAATCCCGGAAACACGGAAATAATTCAAGAGACACCACATAAGGGTACCGAGGCCGAATCTCGATTTATATACTTTTTGTTTCGAAAATCCAGAATTAATCACAAAAACCACACCATCAATAGTCAACGATGTCTCAGCAAGTCGAAAAGAGCCAAACACTAAAAGTGACTGAGTGCATCCGCACGAAAACCTAAAACCTGAAACCTGAAAAGAAGGAGATGAACAAATAAACGCCAGCGCGCCGATGAGGAACACGAAAAACCAAAGAAAAGAAAAACGAGCGCGAAAGAACGACAAAAAACGAGTAAGACGAGAGCGACGGCAACTTATTTTCGAAAATGCTAAGCTGCGTATCATAGCAAATTGACTGCGTACATATATGTGCGCCGGACCCCTCCCATTTTGTGCGCCGGAGGCCTCTGATTTTCTGTCCCGGACCCCTCCGATTTTCTGTCCCGGACCCCTCCGATTTTCTGCTCCGCGGCTCTTCCAAATCTGGCGGACTCGCGACGGGCAAATCTCTTCGCCGCGACCCCAGCAAATCTGGCGTACTTACGGCGGAGAGATTTGCAAGCCCGCTGGAGGGGTCCGATCTGCCTTCTTTGTGACGTCACAAAAAGGGACCGCCCCCTCGCCCCGCTCTCATTGGTCAACTGGGTCCGCCGCGGCTCTGGCAGAGCTTGTGAGAATGCACTGCCGCATGCAACATGCTCTAACGCGTTGCAGAGTTCGCACGCGTCACCATCATCGTCGCAAGTTGCCGCGGATGCGACGTCGCACAACCGATGCTGGATGAAACAGCCTATGTACACTATACACTGTTGAAGATGGTAAATCTAATGTCACGGAGGAAGTGAATCGCTAACCTTCAGAACGAAGAATAATTGCTTGGTCAAAGATGGGCCAATAGCGTTTGCAGCATTCTGCGCGTCCTGGTCGACAAGGACTGCTCTGGAATAAGAACTTCCACGAAAGCTGCAAGGTCGTTCCGCCACCTAAGCGGCACTTTTAGCGAATTGAGTATAAATAATATTTGAATTGTGGCTGTTAGGCAAAACTAGCACAGACATCTTTGCAGTATTGTAAGGTTGTTGTGAGCAATTCCACAGCATTGCGGCAGAGTGAGCACCGCTTGCCGCCACTCGTAGAAATGAAACATTCTGGAAGGCGATGGTTAAGATTTGGACGTGCAGGACTAGACTCTAGGGAAGTAAGAAGGACCTGAACAATGCACTGTCACAGCAAATTCGAAGATCAAAGCCGGAAAAGCTTTTTCCGAAAAAGGGGTGCTTGAGAAATGCATTTATTTCTATAGTTCTGCAACTGTGGCTTATGCCAAGCTTCTTTATTATTGTATCCATGAGGAAGTTGCGAAAAAATCTAGCTACCTGACGTGAGAAGCCGCTGCTGATGAGGGCATCGACAATAGAAGGTGAGGCATGTGGAAGATAGGTGCCTCGAGTGTGTCCGCCGTGCAGACAAGGCGGATGCAGCAAAGCCGTAGGTAGTGCAGCCAAGAACGTGACCGCCGGTGTCGCCATAAAGCTCGTTTCGAAACTCATTCTACTGCCAGTTTTGGGGCTGAAAGAGCGACAGCACAAAGCCGGAGTTGTGTTTTTGCAGGTGTCCACGTCAAATGCCTCCGGGCACTTTTTCAGGTGTCCACGTCAAATGCCTCCGGGCACTTTTTTCTCATTCTCATCTTCCTGTTCTTCTATTAGACAACATTGCACCGACACACTGTATGGTTATCGTAATCTGACATATAATACTTTGGGACTACAGGGTGCGCCACAATTATTTGCGTGTGTATCATTAAGCGCCATAAGAACATAAGACCGGCTCAGCCAGAGGTCAACCTTGATATTGTTTTCTTGGTTCTACAACGTTGTATCCAAGTTGAAAGAAGTAAAATTGGCTGTTTTGCTTTTCGGTAAAAATTCATAATATTTCTCTGACTTTGTCGCGTGCTGCAGCGGGTAGAGGTCCACAAACTTGCCAAGTATGTATCTTTTTAGTGATCGCTTCTCTCAGGTGAAGATTTCGCCATAAATTAGACCTAATCTTTGACTTTAAGATCCTGAGGTTCGGAATCTTTAGGAGCATTCAGAACAAAAATTTTGACTATTCAATAATTTGCGTCAGCTTGCGTTTTTTCTGTCACAAGCATTGCTTTTTGCAATTCTTACTTCTCTAAATAAGATCGATTTGGGATCTTAATAGTGCTTCTTGTAGAGTATGCTTACGGCATTCTGTGACATTGAATCCAGACCAAATTTCTCATTGCCATTGTTGTGGCATTACTTTGAATATTTTGGCGCAAATAATTTTGGCGCACCCTGTACATAGAGAACAATCAATACTACTGTGTCGATGCGGGCATTGGCAGCGTGCCCAGCGCATGCAGCTTACACGGTTAACTCACAGTTATAAAATCAACTCTACAGACCGTGCTTCAGGGGAAAGCACACCATAGCAAAAAAACAGCAGCAATTTTGAGAAGGAAGTGTGGCTGATGTCGCTACACTTCCTTCTCAAAATTGCCGCAAGTATGGATTTTCTTCTAGATGGTGAGAGCATCCACATATAGTAGTTGCACACGTGCTTTCCTCCTACGCAAATTTATTCAACGGCATCACATCCAATGATTCAGAATACTTCTGGTCATCTCGTATTGAGTTCCAAAAAATCTTCTGTCATTCTTCTGAACGGATGTTCATCTACTAGCTATTCACCACAGAAAACAACGATGTAGTACAGTCTTTTCCACGTCATTTATCAGACTGCAGCTATCAATGCTTGGCAGACTACAATGTTTTCTCGAATAAAGATAATGTTGGCTTATTTTACAAACCAGTGCTTCACCTCTGCTTCGCAGAGGCTCGCACTGGCCCTACTATCTGTATGCCTTACTCATTCTCGCACAATAATGATATTGGAACTCACCGCCGTATGCAGACTATCACGAATGATTTGTAAACAACTATTCATTCCAAAAGCTTTTCCATATGAGATCCGTAATTTCGCATGAACGAAACTTTTCTCGAAAGAACAAATGCAGATTTGAGTCGGTTTTTGGACTTTTCATGGCTTGATATTCGCGTTTAGATGCCATAATCACCGTGGCCTACATATCTGTGCAAAAATCTTCTCAAACCATCCGGTAAAATCTTGGCAAATTGAACATTTACGCAACCAATTCTTTTTGGCGCCGTTTTCGCAAAGTAATAAACTTTAGTTCAATTTTTTAGGCTAAAGACCATGACTTGCACATTAACATGTCAAAAATATCCTTAAATTTGCAAAAAGTTGCGCAACAGACTCAATTTTACTGGCCAAAAGCCAAGTGGATCCGGTTGACGCGAATTTTTTGAGGGATCCACACAATGGATCCGCACGTGCTTTTGTATAGTAGACTCTCATGTTAGAAGCAGGCGCTGTGCAAAAAATCAGCTCAAAACCTTTGGAACTCGCCCCACGAATTTCGTGACAGACAGAGATTCAGACAGACAGACAGACAGACAAACGTAAACAACCCTTAGCCCGTTATTATAAGTTATGATGAGACAACATTATCTTTGTTGCTTTGCTTGCTTTATTCCTGATGGATACAGGATATTTTCCAGGAGCAAACACTTGTCAGAAAGCGAATGCAATGAAGCTAAAGGTTTGTCCCCATCCCAGTCAGGCCAAAGTTGACATGACGGGAGGCTGCGTCGCTAGCGTTTTACGCCAAGCGCCCTTGGCCTGCTGGTCTGTTCACCGGTTCCTCGCTCTCTTCGACAGCGCGCATACAGTCTGCCCCAATCTTAACCAGGCCAAAATTGGCATGGCGGGAGTCCGCGTCGCTAGGGTTTTGCGGTCACGCCCACAGCCTGCTTATCTATTCTGCCTCCAATCCTTTTGCTCTCTCCGACAGCGCGCATATGCAGCGCAAACGCTTGGCGCTGCGAGCGCGCAAATCTACGCCGACGGTTCGGCCTGATCCCAATTGGAGCACACTGTATGCAGCGCCCCGTACCCCTACGAGCGCACAAGTACAGGCCAACGGTTCGGCCTGATACCGATCGGGAGAGACTGTACATGTTGGAAGTACGTATTGGTGAATTTACCTCTGCCGCAAAAAAGAGATCGTTATCAATGCAGTAAGTGCAAGCAAGAATTCTTCTGCTTGGATTGCTTAGAACATAAGAATTGCTGAATTTGTGTAGCGTATATTCGGTCTTACAATGCGTACATGGCGCAACATTCGCCATACTGTCATTCGTTTTTACTCAAGAATAGTATCACACCTTCAATAAGAATCGCGCGCCGCTGCAGAAGATCTAAATATGTAACGCTACCAGATGAGAATCATTTTATTCTATTAGGCTGTCCGGAAAATAATGTCGCACCTGTTTTATCATGCAATATGGCGGCAGGGTGAGCAGGAAAGTAAATAAGTGGGGTATTAACCGATAGATCAAAACAAGCACTACAAAATTAAGCTCGAACCTTTGCTTCAGGTTTGATCTGCGTGAAGTGTGGAGCCAAATTTCATAAGGCACTAGAGATTAAAAAAAAACGAAAGGAATCGCATCTCCGTTCAAAAAAGTCTTGGAAATTCCTAACTTGCTCACGTATGGATTCACTATACCAGACACTCGTACGCACATTTTCGTGGTTTTTCCATGGTTGGATGAGAAAACGAAATTCGGCATATTTTTGTTGAAGCAGCCCTGAGCTTCTCTCAAATAAATGATCCTGTAGTACGAACCTTTGGGAGTCTAACCATGAATTTTCAGTTTTAGACAAGCTCTATTCGAGAAAAACCAAGTTGTTTGCAAAAAACCCGAAAAACATGACATACTCGCACTCTTGACCTGATTTTGTTTGTTGTACTGCAGCCATGAAAAAATACCACAAACTGTACAAGTGAATGTCTAATGTGGAAAGTATAGGGCATACCAACCACCATCGGTCGCGGATACTCAGGGGAAGAGGCAGCGCGCGCGCGACGCGAGCAAAGGAGATTGCACTCGAGCGCGAAAGCGAGCCTTGTTCCTTAGACTCATGACGTTGATTCATCTCGTGTTTACCTTATATTCTCTTGTTAGGCATTAGATTTCGTACTTGTATCGATTACCACACATTTCGATGGTGGCGTTGTTTGAATGAAAAATATTCAAGCAGGAACGATGAACGCGCACAATTTGCTCATGCATAGCAGGAAATATCATCTATTCCGAGTTGAGGAGACTCGAGCACGCTTTGCACAAGTATGATGTGAAAATGTTAGTTGTTCTTTACCCGCTTGGTTGGTTTACTACTACAGATTAGATGAGAGACAAGTACAAGTTTGTTAAACAACGTGTGCAACGTTCTGAAGTCTTCTAATCTCGGATTTGACATATAATCAAAGTGTCAAATTCAAGTCACAGTCGCATAAAGCCGAATTACCTTTTCCATCATTGATTTGAAAGAAAAGAAATTTCAGTGTGCTTATGCTTCTCATTTAGCGTGAAATACGGAAAACAAGATATTCCAACATGCAATTGAGTACGAAATGAAGTTCATGAGATATGCAAGAGAAGGCTATGTATAAATCAGCTAAAAAAAGAACAATAATCAACCCTAGCCACAGATACAGCGACGCTTTCGCGCTCGGGTACTAATTTCGCTGCCCGCGTCGTGCTTTCGCAACCTCATCCCGGTATGCCCTATACATGCTTGTGCAGATTGGAGTCCTTGAAGACGTCTTTGGACGGAGATGCGATTTTTCGAGTGTCTGAAATTTTTTATATTTTGGATTTGAACTTCAGGTAGAGCAAGATTTCCGCGGGTATTCGTGAACTATCTTTTAGAGCTTGCTTTGCTCTATCATATGATACCCCATTCGCTGTTTTCTGTGGTCACTCTGTCGCGATAGGATGCCATGCGACATTATTTTCTGGACAACCTAATACTTTGTACATTCTCGATACCAACAAGATGTTAAAGGCACCGTCCGTCCAGATTTTCGACTTCCACGTTTTTGTCGTTTCAGGGCCTTCTCATGTCTCTGAATATGAAGTCGAGAATGCGCGAAAACCCCGACAATCCCCGTTCGGAGAACCCCCAGGCCGGGTTTCAGGAACGGTGATTGGATGGGCGCGCACAAATGGGCTGGCATGGATGGGGGAGGGCGGGCATGGATGGGGGTCCTCGGCATCTTCGTTATTCCGAAGCGATTTTCTCGTTTCCGAGGCAACATTTTGCGCCGCGACTTGGGCATTGGATTGATAGGGGGCCTTACTATTATATACTGCCAAAAGCTCAACACCCTCAACTTAGGATGGACCGTGCCCTTAAGATGCTTACCAAGACGCTTTTGCAAAGTATTGCAAGCTACTAATCCTAAGGGTAACGATACCTTCTTCGAATTACAAGTTTTCATAACAATGCCCTCTTTGAGACCGCTCAGCGCTGAGATGAGTCACAACGCACTTTGTGCGCCCCGTTCGATATGCAGAAACACACATGGAATGAATCTGTCGCAAAAGTGGATTACGACACACTGTTTGACTGTTTGCAAGCACATTCTTTTTCTTTTACCGCACTATTGACTACTGGTTTGCAAAAGCAAAGAAACTTATTTGCATGACTGCCAACTTTGTCCTGTGCTGACTTTCAAACTGAGCCATTTCGCTATAATGGGAGTAAGGCTTCGGAGTGCATAGGAATGCAAAGACATAGCGTTTCTGTTTTTTCTTCCCAAAAATCTTTTGGTGGACAAAAATAGCGTGTAACACGGCACGGCACTTCTAACATCATTCTTACTTTTCACATACTTATAAAATATTAAAATTTTTGCATAGGGTCGTGGATTTTACTAGCCAAATGGGGAAAGTTTCCATGTCATATGGAGGTGACACATTTTACGATCTTCTCGTTTGTGTCAATTGAGACTCAAAGCTCACGCTTCTGCCGCGGCTCTAATCTATCGAGTTTCATTTAGTTCTAAGTAATAGTTTCTGCCTGATATGTCGAGAATCATTCGCGACAGTAAGACTAGATATCTCAATTGAACCTGCACCGGGCAACTTTCGTACAGCGAACAGGCCCACAACTGTGCTTGATGCCATTTGTTTGGGAACTCATGACTGTGTAGCAAGATGTCTGCGTTTTTGTACTCAAAATGGTGGAATTACAACAATTAGATTGCACTTTCTGGGGTATGACGTTATGTCAATAAATGGAGATCTGACAGAACTGAAGTCACTTGAAGTGATCCGTGGTTGTCGGAACTCTGTTTTGCCTACCAGACTATCTCCAGACTAGTTTTACCTTGAGCTGTGATTCTGGCGTTTGAAGTAAATGCGTTGAGTGTTTATTCCTCTTTCTGGGATCCGTCGAGAGCAGTTCGGCGAAAATTTGACTTATTGTTAACATCATCATGATCAATCGCTCAAATCAGTCTCTAGGCGATCAGCTCCATCTAATACCAAGATTCATGAACAACTGAAATTGAGCAACATATACAATTATTCTTTTCACTGACTTACCCTTGTTTCGCCCTTGATATCTTATTGTTTGATATCTCTACATTTAAATTTTTTACCACTGCTTTTTCTATCATACATCGCATGAACGGAAGTGCATGAATTCGCTTTGTTGGATTTATTGAACAACCGTAAGGACCAGAATGACTGTGTAATTGAAGTCCGTTGAGGAATGATATGCAAGATGATATGAAAAAAAAGGACATATCTATATACAGGGTGTCCCAAAAAAATGTGAACACTGTTTAATCGTTGATAACTCCCTTGCTTTCATGTCTTTCGCCGAGCTTGAGGTACCATTCTGTTGAACGAGGTTCAACTTAGATTTACAATATGGAGCGAATCACCGATCGCTCTTCATTACTGTAGGATTACGGTAGGAACCTTTCGACAAGGATTTTAGGCCGTTGGAGGCCATATTCTGCCTCGGAACAAAACCAAGCAAGCCAAAAACTTTTGTGCTATGGCAATGGAGGCCGCTAATTTCGATTATAACAGTTCCACTTTCCTGTGATGCTTCTTTCCATAGTTATCCCAAGTAGACCCGTAATAAGTGAAATCCCAGCATTTGTCAAAAATGTAATTACACCGTTAAAAAAGCTGAAAACACTAACGTAAAAATTCGTGTATTAGAATAAGCGTGCCCGAAAACCCCAGTACACGACTTTTCAGATTATTTGAAAAAAATTTTGTCAGATGACATATTTCACAATGATTCCATATGCTGAAAGTATTCGTAATCCTACAGTAACGAAGAGCAATCGGTGATTCGCTCCACACTGTAAATCTAAGTTGGACCTCACTCTACAGAATGGTACTTTATGCTCGGCGAAAGATATGAGAACAAAGGAGTTATTAACGATCAGACAGTGTTCACATTTTTTTGGGACACCCTAAACTGTACAACCATCATGCCTTATCACGAACGCCTCCAAATACTATTTACGGACCACTTCCTATGCACCCTATGTTTAGAGTCTCACCCACGCTATTTATGCACTTCAGAAGTGCGCTGCTCACGATGCAGCAAATTTGACCACCCAACGGCCTTATGCCAGATGGATCCCAAACCTTTCCAACGCAAGTAAAGGAACACGGTTTTCTTTTTCAGAAAACTAATCCACCATGCCACCAGTAATCTCCCAACGTTTCAAGCGCAGAAGACTCTCCTCTTCCTTTTCCACATCTTGCACCTCCCACCGCTCCTCATCGCCCTTATGTTACTACTTTCCCTCCTCTCCTTCTAACTCTCCCCCTCCTGAACCTCTCTCTAACCAAAATTTCGATGCACGTTTTCTATATTTCATCTTTCAACCAAGATAATTCTTTTTTGAAAAGGCATTTCTGGGCGCAATAAAAACTACTGTAACCAGCAAGTCAGTGGCTATACAACAGATACTTTTGACTGTATCTATTATAAGGAAGATTTTCTAGCCTAAAAACTGCCAACAACTTTTTTCGGAAGCCTCTACTTTGAGAAGGCATAACTTATGTTGAAATAAAGTAGGATGAAGCAGACTTCGCTCATTGTGTAGCCAAGGATCTCTGGAGCAGTGATGCCAAACTTGGATTTTACAGAAATTTTTTGAAAGAAAATATCGCGAAAATTTCGAAAGTACTCACTTTTTTCTGGCATCTCGGCCGGCTCAAAAATCGGTTATTTTTGAAATTATTTCACTTATCTCCGCTGAAAAGTGAGAAAATCCTAGCGCTTTCCTATTATCAAATGAACTTGGTCTACCCTTGCTGGATAGCGCAAAAGACCTGCAATCGCCTTTTGCTTCAAAGTTTTATATAGCAAGGAAGGGTCGCGACGATCATTTAAGTTTGCAATTGAATTTCTTGGTGCAGAATTCATGTAGAATTTTTTTCGAATAGCATCTTGTAGCACAAAGTTTTCTAATCCTTATATATATTTTTTGAAATTAATCCGGCTATTCCTCATGGATTTAGGGCAAAAAGAGTGAAAAGCAAAAATTTTGGGATTCAGTCTCTTTTATTTGAAGGCTCAGAACTTCAGAAGGAACGGAGATGTACGAAAGCGAAGACCCAAATAAGAAACTAGAAAAAACGCCCTTTAAGATAGCATGAAAAGTTTTTGAGGAAATTGATTACAAATCAAATACCAGCTCTTGGAAAAAGAGGTGAGAAAAACGTGCATTAATTATGAATCAACCTAATATATATCAGTGGCGTACCGAGGGGGGGGGGGGGGCGCGCACCCTTTTTCCAGATTTTAGGGGTCGGGGACCCGCAAAAATTTTGAGAAGCATCCCAAAAATTTTTTCGGAGTGCGTGGCTAACTCCACGCACCTTCTTTAGAAAAATTTTTTTGTCGCCCCCCCCCCCCCCCGAGCCGAAATCCTGGGTACGCCACTGATATATATATATATTAGGTTGGTCCGAAAGTTCTGTCCCACTATTTTCAAAAAATCATAACTTCTTCCCAATACGATATTTCTGCATGACTAAAATTCTGTTAGAAAAAGCAATTCATGCACTTTCTAAAACTACCTTGACTGCTATTTACTGAGCTTTGAGTGCAGAGATAAAATTGGGAAAGTGAAATCACTTCAAGTTCGGAATTTTTAAGCAAGCCCGTTAAAAAGTCCGAAACTGTGCCATAAAATCCAAGACAGCCACTATCCTAGACTTTATTGACCCCCTCTTTCCAGCTGAGTAACATTCGTGCTGATAGAGCTGTTACTTCAAAAGTTATGATTTTTTGAAAAAGAATCTCAAAAAACCAATTTTCTTGAGGAGATTTTTTTGACATTTTTTCTCGAAAATCATAACTTTTCTAAGAAGGGCTCGATTAGCACGAGTTTTGCTTATATAGAAAGAGGGGATCAGAAAACCTAGGATAATGGTTGTTTTGGACTTTATGGCACGGTTTTGGACCTTTTAGCGGACCTTCTTAAAAATTCCAAACTTGAAGTGATTTCCTTTTCCCAATTTTATCTCTACATTCAGAGCTTAGTAGATAGCAGCCAAGGTAGTTTCAGAAAGTGCATGAATTGCTCTTTTCAAAAAGGTTTGAGCCATGCAAAAACATTGTGATAGGAGGAAGTTATGATTTTTTGAAAATGGCGGGACAGAACTTTCGGACCAATCTAATATATATAAAAGTCAAAGTTTGTGCAAATCTTGAGCGTATGTTTTTTATAGAATTCTATTGCGGTGAACCGATTGAGCTGAAACTTTACACGCATATGTTTTCGAGCCCGTAGATGACTTTAGGCTACTTTCTGAAGCGATTCGCTGGATCCTTCTATTGATTTATTGATTTTTGGCACTTTGCAATCAAAATGAAGCTCATCAGCCACTATCAAACCCCGTGCACATTTTGGTGTAGACAAAGCAGTAAAGTTCATTCAGTATGAAGTGTAGAAGATGCAGTCACTCCAATTAGTCATTGTGAAGTAAGCTCAGGCAGAAAGGTAAGGGGAAGGGACCTTTAGTGCAGTACTGAGATAGCAAATAGGGTACGGCCGAACCGAAAAAAGTAGAGAGGAGAGACAAAGTGTGGTTTGACCATCCTCCTAAACGGTGGCCCGGGCTGGACCGGGAAAGCCAGCTAGTATGTAGATAATCTTTGTTTTAGGAGGGAGGTTTGAGGAATGATATGCAAGATGATATGATAAGATATGTCACTTGTTTATGTAAACAAGTTAGCTATATATACCAGTGCGTTACCTTTGCTTCGCAGAGGCTCGCACTGGCTCTTCTATCTATATGGCATACTCATTCCCACATAAGAATGTATTGAAACATACCGCGCAAAGCCCGCCTTCACCAATGACTCGTAAACAATTACCCTAATTTCCAGAGTATAAGGCGCATTTTCGTGCACCGCGCGCGGCCTCATTTGCGACGCCGCGAGCGACGTGCGACGTCGCGAAGGCCGCCGAGTGCTGACTTTCCACGATTTTCTGCAGTTGAATTTCTTGTAATCATGAGTTGTATTGAAACAAATTCTTTTATCACATTTAGCACAACAAAAAGCAAAGACTCAAACACCCGTACTGTTACTACCTTCGAAATTCATTGAGTTAAGGCACCGTCCACCCAGATTTTCGACTTCCGCGTTTTTGTGGTTTCAGGGCCTTCTCATGTCCCTGATTCCGAATATGAAGTCGAGAATGCGCGAAAACCCCGACAATCCCCGTTCCGGAGGACCCACAGGACGGCTTTCCTGAACGGTGGTTGGATGGGCGCGCACAAATGGGCGGGCATGGATGGGGAGAGGGCGGGCATGGATGGGGGTCCTCGTGCATCTTCGCTATTCCGAAGCGATTTTCTCATTTCCGAAGCGACATTTTGCCCCACGATTTGGGCATTGGATTGACAGGAGGCCCTACTATTATATGCTGCAAAAAGCCTAACACCCTCAACTTAGGGTGAACGGTGCCTTTAAAGCTATCATTGAGATCGTTCAAGTTTATATCTGTTGTCAAGGCTTCATTATATCCATTTAAGATAGAATCGCCACTGACTTCTTGGAAACTTTGAAGTACCCATTCAGCAATCAGTTCAAGCTGCGGCCCCTTTCTTCTTTCTTGGGGAACAACCGAACCTTGCTTGGGTGCAACTCTTAAGCGCATTTGTCGCGCTTTCGCGCGCGGCAGGTGCGCCTTATACATAGGTGCGCCTTATACTCTGGAAATTAGGGTACTCATTCCTTGAGCGTTTTCGTGTGAGATCGGTATTTTGCGTGGATGAAACTTTCAAAGATGAAGAACAAATGCAGAATTAGAACACTTCTAGGTTTTTTTGATGGCTTGGTAGTCGCCATAAGGATAATATCCACGGCGAGCTACATCCTTGTGCAAAAATCTTCTCAAATGCTCGGGTAAAAACTTGGCAAATTGACCATTTACGAAAATAATGTTTTTGGCGCCTTTTCGTGGAGCAATAGACTTTCATCACTTTTTTTGGGCTAAAGATCATGGCTAGCACATTCATCTGCCAAACATAATCTCTACTTTGCAATAAATGGTAATGCGGACCCAATTTTGCGCGCCAGACGTTAAGTGGAACCGTTTGGGGTGCGATTTTTGAGGGACCTACTCAATGATCTGCTCGTGCCTTGGCATGGTGAATCGGGATGGTGGCAGTGTGTGTTGTGCAAAAAATTGCGGCTTGAAACCTTGTCTGCGACTCGTTCTGTGAATTTCGTTACAGACAGACAGAAGACAGACAGACACACAAAAACACGTAAACACCCTTAGCCCGTTATTATAAGTCATGATAGTTGTGACAGTCGTACACTTCTGAATCTTGTGGCTTGCTCTCTCGGATAAAAGCTTCGCATCCACTCTGGTACCTAACAAAGTCAAGACCAATGGTAAAAAGTCAGTTTCTGCAGTATTACAAACAATCAGCAACCATGTCTAAATGTTTTCCCATCAGGACCTAAGTACCACCTAATTTATGTCGCAGGATACTTTTCCACACATCGCCTTTCAAAAAACTCATTCTAAAGTGTCGGGTTGGTTCAAAATGTATTAACCTTATTAGGTTCAGCAGTTTGGCCGCAACTGTAATTTAGCTAACTAATTAACTAACTAAGTACCTTATTCAGGTATAGAGAAAGCAAATATGTACGAGTTGCTATTTACGTGTTTCTGTGCAGATTTATTTCCTATTTGTACGTCCTAAACATTCACGCTTGTCTTTAGATCACTGCTATGTTCTTCTTGAGCCTTTCACCAAGATTGTCAATAACTTTATTACGTCTTGTCTTTAGAGTTCTAATGTGCTGGTATAGCATACCAACAAGGACCTCTCCACTCAATGGAACCAAATTTTCCGCGGATTCTGGCGACATTTTAGATGTCTCTTCAGATTGCCATTTTTTCGAAACATTGGATTGGTCAGAGAATCAACAAGTTGCTGCTCAAGAACCGCAGTTAATATGTTATGACACTGAAAACGGTTGCGAAAGCTCAAGTTCCTCTTTTTTGCACCAAGGCAATGCGGAAGTGACTCAGGTGTCTCAAAACTTTCTTTTAATACTGCTTGACATAACGAATTAGCAAGGCAGCCTTCACGATTGTAACAAGATTGTTAGCTACGCTGCATACATACACTTAGTGGTTCGGTTCTGTGCTCACTTCTGAGACCAAGAATGACCAAGAAATCCACTCCTTTGAGCTTCGTTAAACAAAGTACGAAAAGTTTTGATTCTGTCCGCGTATTGTGACAGTGAAGAACTGCATAACATTCGCTTTAGAGTGTGTGGAGCACGCTGAGGTCATGAGCTAGTTTATGTGAAGACCAAAAACAACATTTTTTGCCATTTTATATGACACAGTTTTTTGATACGCATGAGTCACACTGCAAAGAGAAACTACAAATTTTAGTTCCAGCTTTTTGCCTCACTAGCCTCTTCCGCGCCTTCATCTTCAATTGCTTACGATCTCTTGGATCTGCAAGACCTCGGTAATGTCTTACCTCACTATTGGAATTTTCATGCCATAAATATAGTGTAGACGCCTTAGGTATAGCTACTGTTTCTAACAGCTGCACCTTTGTACCCTTACTTCGACATGTAATCAATCACTTTGCAACCTCTTCGGAATTCCAGAATCGGTCAACACAGTAAAGTGATTTACGACCGGGGCAATTCAAGGTGTATAGGAGTACACAGCTTTTATGTCCCACAGAACATGTCGCCTATCGTGGTGAGAGGCATCTATAATATTTGCAGAAACAACATCGACACACGACTATCCTCAAGCAATCACTTTGGACGAATTTTCGCTACTCCTTTCAAGCAGCTTCTCAGGTGCAGCAAATGCTTCAAAAAACGCAAACCCGTCTGCATGTAGCAAAGGTAATTATCTCTCTTTATCTATTTTTGCACTTCAATAGATGCTTGTGCCTTTCTCGCATCTTTGTTAAAAACTACTACATGCTTTCACTCGCAAGCAATCTGTGCAAGCAGTGCGGTTCTTTGAAATGATCAACAATGTACATGGATAAAGGATATTCGTCGACGACTGCCCCGATTCGTGCATTTACACCAACGTGGGCGTGCCTCTCGGAGCCTTTCCAGCTTGACAGTACGTTGCAACGCGCAGGGACTTCGTAGCTCGCAGCAACACTGTCCTTTATTCTCTTTTGTTGATTTAAGTATTTCACATCGTTTTTTCTTCTTAGTTTACATATTTCAGTCAGTCATTCGTTTTCCCTTTTTCTTAGGTTCTCTCGATGTTCAAATATCCTACGTTCTATTTTGATGAATACTGAAAGGTAAGGAGAGAATTTGTTTAGGCATATTTCTTTTCCTCTCCCTTTTCACCCAACAAACATTCTTTTTCAAAACGGTGAACCATCGCCTCTGGCAGAATTAGGTGAAAGGGTGTGCTTTGTCCATAAACAGTGGTGATCATGGAGTTCCCTGGGATGAGGCCACTCTAATGTTTATTTCAACACTCTCACATGGTGTCCCTGATGCAGGAGTGCTGAAGTAATCACTTCAGTGATTTGTCCTAGGAAACATATTAAATCATTGTAAAACATTGAAGAAAACATGTAATCGCAATCATAGCCATGATATCCACCACTGCAACTACAAAGAAGGTCATTCTTTTTGCTCGCGGCGATGGTCTCACACAGACACTAAAACGGCTGATTGCCTGAAATAAAAAATAAGAAGGAAAAACGATGTGAAATTCTTAAATCAACAAAAGAGTTAAAGGAGAAGAGTGCTGCGAGCTATCAAGTCCCCGCGCGCTGCGGCGTACTGTCAAGCTGGAAATGCTTCAAAAAGGCGGTGGTGTAAATGCACGAAACGGGGCAGTCGTCAACGAATATCCTTTACATGGCTTCTTGGAATTCTGTCAGGGACAAACTTAATGTATACCTGCCATTCTTCAAACATGCCTCCAGCATTGCTTTTGCATACTCTTGGTGATTTCATCTGGGTCATATACGCTGTGAGCATAATTATCCCGCCACATTCCTGCTTGCAAACTTGCACCCCCATTTTTTGTCTATGGAGTTACGCAACAGGTTTGCCGAGCACTTGTTTATTTTTAGAAGAAGCAAGATTGTCTAGCTAAATATAGACCTCACCTTCCATCTCATATTATGTATACTTGCCGGTTCGTTATTGTCTCATTAAGAGATTTGACTCTCTTTTTTTTTTTGAAATAAAATATATGGCAACATCGGGGACGAGTGACGCAGTCGTATGACGTCAGAACCAGATCGGACTAGTCCGACCCCGCCCTGGGCAAACAAACCCTCTACCCTCCGGGGCCGGTAAATTGTTACTAGAATAATCTGGGAGGATAACAATACGTAATCGGCTGGCTACGCAATTCACTTTAAAAAGCCTGTACGCATTCAAGAGCCTCTTCATGAAGCGGAATGCCGTTCGGCGCATGCCTACAGAGGATACTAAAGACGGCAAATCCTTTATAATCTTATCATGGTAAAGTCCGTCTAATATGGGTAGCACCGCATTACACTCGATAGTCTACTATGATTGAGCTATTGGTTTATCGAATTTGCTGCGATGCTGCAATAGAAACGAACCTTTTGAGATCGGCAGTGAAGGGATTTCACATCTGTTTGTGAGAAATCTTGCTTTTGAGCTCATCTAAATCGTATGTGAGTATTCCAGAAACCACTCCAAAAATGCAACCACTATCAAAACAACAAAGCGCGTCGAGCCTGATCGCAGCCAGGAAACTTCAGAATTCGCAAACTGCGAATGCGCAAACTCGCGCATTAGCAATCAAGAGAAGAAGAAAGACGTGCATGAGTCCTTTGAAGAACTTCTCTCACTTCAGGTAAGTGATGAAGGCTTCGGCAGAAAATCGAGCAAAAAAGCGGTAGCCGTGCCTATCCTTCCACAAGCCTTTCACTATCCTTTTCGGATTCTTGTTGAGCTTATACTCATGTAATATGAAAAAAAGGTAGGATTGCCGAAGTCCTTAAGATTGCTTGCTGAGCTGATGTGATTTGAAGAGTACTTTAGATCGTTGAACGATTCAAGCGCAAGAATGTTGTAAGCTGATACTTACAGTAGGGGTTTGCGCTGCGTGTGATGCCTTTGAGTACCTTCTACAGTCTCTGTGATAGTGCCACCCAGAAGTACAGTCGTCGAAAGTCACGGGCGCTAAAGTACTCTATTTGGTTCTTTAGAGAAAGGCATAGAACTGATTTTCTGTCTTGAACCCAAACTTGCCATTTCGAAGAAATAGTAAGGAGTGTGCTGACTCGCACAAGATATGAGGCGAAAAATTAGGTCGGTTTTTCCTTCAAAATTTTCCCACTCACTGCCGTAATCGATTGCCAAAAACCTCAGAATAAGGCTGTTCAAGCAAGGAATGTTACGTAACAGAGAACAAGCAAGACACTTGAATCATTGTCGATGTAATCTGTCTTTGACATCTTGGAATAGAAATGTTCCTATCGAATTACTTTTTTTCTCATGGCAAAAGAATGTCCGAAGTTTTAAAGAAATGGTTACTATTTTAGTTTTGACAGGAGAAGACAGCAAGTAAGCCGCAATAACATCGCTGAGTAACTGATAAAACAGATTTGTTGTACAGTCGAGTAGATTTTCTGCTTGATATAGTGTGCTTGCACAGTTTATGAAATGCGATAAAATTTGCGCGTGAACAGGTAGCTGCGCCAGCACTGCCGGCATTTTGCGCGCGCAATTGGCCGGCGTCACAGTCGAAGCTATTTCCTCACGAGCAAATTTTACCGCATTTCACCTTCTGTGCAAGCACACTATATTAAGCAGAAAATCTACTCGACTGTAGATATAAACAATACAACAAGAAGTCTGCAATGATATAAAGTATCATCAACGAAATTTTGGCACATTGACAAAAATGGCGAGCGAAGGAAGTAAATACTTATGATAATACTTATGATAACTAACGAAGTCGTGATGAAGATGCTACACAAAAGCTTGCACTTATTTCGAATCTGATACGAAGGGAGTCTTCAATTAACACGATAAATTACAACAAATACCAACCACAATAAGGCCAATTTTCAGTCCTGCTTTCTCGTTGATGATATCGCTAGGTCATCCGAACAAATTGAGATCTGCCGACTTTTGGATCGTCAATTACTGCACTACATATAGGAACCGGGAACATGGCTGAGAAAACTCCAAACAACATTTGAAACCTTCGTTTCATAGCCGGTTTTTCTATCAATAACCTCCTTTTAGCAATTGTTTTCCTCAACAGCAAAATCTAGATGTAACGAATATCACGTTTAGTCTGCAAACGTACTGCTGTCGAATCCCTTTTCAGGGCTTCAGTGTGCCGCGAAGGAGCAATCCAACATTGAACGAAATAAGAAGAGCAGAAGAGGTTGAAAGGCTGAGCCCTACTTCCATCAAGGTAAGCTCGGCGACTACCATGTGGAGGGGCGTCCCTTCTGTCCTCCAGTGCTATTCCGCAGTCTGGATGCAGTCCTTACCCTCCTTTTTGCTTTTCAGAATTTTTGTAATGTCCCATTCGGTTAAAAGCGAATGTCGGTTCTTCTCACTTTATTCCAAACACTGTGGTTTCGTGACCAAAGTGAACCATGAAAAATCAGCCAAGAATATTGCAGTGATACAATAGCGCTAAACATAGTAAGGTGCGGATAGAATTCACTTGTGAAAAGATTGTTATCTTGATAGAGAACAGATTAATGAAAAAGCACATGGACGTCATTTCTGTAATATTTGAGCTGAAACGGGACATCCGTCGAAGCTGCCGCTTGTTATGACGTTGCAAAACCTGTTAATACGATTGCGGCAGCCATCGTGCACATAAGCGGGTTGTCATAAATCTAGATCAGGAAACCAAAAAGGCAGAATACATACTTTATTAAAGTACATAGCTCACGTGCGCAGTTTGACTCAAATTGCAGAGAGAAGGTTAGGTTTTTTGCTTACATGTGTTATCCGCTTCGTTAGAACCGAAAATTTATCTTGAAAACGCAAAGATGGCAAGAATAAGCTTTTGCAAAATTCTTGATTTTCGATGCATTTAGAGGGTTTAGCAACGACTCTGACTCTCCAATCTTGGGGCTGTTTCATTCGTCCAAATCAAAAGTTAAGGGCTTAAGAAATGTTGGTTTCCGCAATCTGCACTCTCCAGCTTCGCTCCCGCATCGTTGCTCATTTACTAACTCAAAACCAACACAGAATCTTTTTTGCGCTACGGCGCGTCCGGTCTCCAAAACGTTTTAGAACTCATCCGTTCAACGTAGATCCTCCTGCGCGAGAGCTGCCGAAAGCGGAGCCATGTATGATAAGATAGCAATCAATAAAGAAGACGAAATTTGAAGGGGCGAGGCTCCCGTGCGCAGCCTTATATACCTCGCCACTTAACCGCGTTCAGAGCCAGACTGGTCCTGCAGAGACTACAAAAGGCACGACAGGTAACGCGGCATACAGCGCTCCCGGCGCCTGTTCTGAGGAGGTGCTTGCATTGCTGGGCCGCGACACAGCCACTTTCTTTGAACTCGAGTTCTTCTCGTACTTAAGGAATTTTTGCAAAAGAAACGCCTTTTTTTCAAGGGGAACGGAACTTACCTACCGCCCCCATTAAAGAAATTCATCTATCTAAAGTTTCGATAAAAACAGTGAAAAAGTAGTTTGATATGGCAGTTTTACAATGTTTATTTAAGTCAACTCTCAACGTTTTGTCTCACAAAGGTCATATTTTTGCTGGAAGATAAACAATCAGAAAAATACAAAACTCAGCAATCAATAATTGTTTTACATGCGTTCCAAAAAAGGCATGTTTCATTTTTTCATCGAGATTTCGTAAGTGAAAGTTGAATTTATCAGTTACTAGCTGCCGTCCCCGGTCCGGCCTGGGCGGTAGGGTCCAAAACCATAGTGTTTATTTCAAATCATTTATGGCTTACCACTCCTCTTCCTTCACTTCATATCATCCCTTCTTTTCCTGCTTCAGCTCCGAGTTGAATTGCAGCGCCGCTGTGGCATCCGTATTGAGATTGCCTTCCTTCTTGACCGCCTCGCTCCGTGACACCGCATCCTCCTCACCGCAAAATGTGAATGATCTCTACCGCCCCTTACTACTTAACTTGGAGAAATAAATGATGTAGCTTTCATTTTGCTAGATATAAGTAAACAAATCAATAAATCGATGGAAGGACCCAGCGAATTGTCGCGAAAAGTAGCCTATCTTCTGCGCCTAGCTTGTTCATAGGGGAGATAATTTCAGCCTCTTCGGTTCACATACAAAGGAGTCTATAAGCCACAAACATCCTTACAAACAAAGGTACAGTGTTTGAGTTTTATATACATACTAGCTGGCTTACCCGGCTCCGCCGTATCCGGACCAAACTTGGCACACATACACTTCGGGCCCCGGCGGGTGTCACAGTCCACTTTTCGTTATCGATCGATGTCGATTTTACCGATTTTTATCGATTTTTTTGCAGAGTTCACCTACAGGGCTAGGAGTTGGCACAGGGGGGGAAGTGAGCATGGGGATTCCGAATACAACATTAGTTTTCAGGATCGTCCATTACTTTTATCGATTTTATCGATTTTTTTTGTAAAGTTTGACCTGCGGGGCTGGGAGTTTGCACAGGGGGGTAATCGAGCATGCTGATTACGAACACAATATTAGTTTTCAGGATCGTCCATTACTTTTATCGATTTTATCGATTTTTTTGTAAAGTTTGACCTGCGGGGCTGGGAGTTTGCACAGGGGGGGGGGGGGGTAATCGAGCATGCAGATTACGAATACAATATTAGTTTTCAAGATCGTCCATTACTTTTATCGATTTTATCGATTTTTTGAAAATTTGAGCTAGGGGGCTGGAATTTGGCACGGGTGTAATCGAGCATGCTGATCACCCCCCTTGGGGGTGATCAGCATGCTCGATTACCCCCTGTGCCAACTCCCAGCCCCGTAGCTCAAACTTTGCAAAAAATCGATAAAATCGATAAAAGTAATCGATAATCCTGAAAACCAATATTGTATTCGGAATTCCCATGCTCGATTACCCCCCTGTGCCAACACCCAGCCCCGTAGCTCAAACTTTGCAAAAAAATCGATAAAATCGATAAAAGCAATCGATAATCCTGAAAACCAATATTGTATTCGGAATCCCCATGCTCGATTACCCCCCTGTGCCAACTCCCAGCCCCGTAGGTGAACTCAGCAAAAAAATCGATAAAAATCGATAAAATCGATATCGATCGATGACGAAAAGTAGCCTACGACACCCGCCGGGGCCCGTAGTGTATGTGTGCCAAGTTTGGTCCGGATCGGTTCAGAAATGGAATTTTCTATTCGGAACATACGTACACACAGACAGACATACAGACATACAGACAGACAGACAGACAAACAGACATTCAGCTTTATATATAAGATATATATATATATTATTTCAACTCTGTCATGAAAAGACCGCGCAATACTAATAGCATATTAAGTGCTTCAGAAAACCCTTAAGGCTGTATTTCATTAAAATTGAGCAGATATTGCTGCTGAACATCTGTTTTGTGATTCCTTCGAAATCCCGATTTCATATGCATCGCGAAAGCGTCGATGGCTGAGGCGGGGTTTAAAATACGCACGACTAAGGGCCGCATGCACTAACCTCCCCGCGGGGAGGGGATCGCAGCTTAAAAGAAAGCTTTATATTTCGAAACTCCAGATACCTGGATTTCACGTTGTGTACCTGTCCGTAAGTATTCCTACTACCCTTCACTATGAACATGTTGAAGAGGAGCGAGAAGCTGTACAAACCGCATTTTCCAGCTTTTGTATGATCCCTGATGATCCCCGGCGCTTTTCTTTTAAGTCATTTTTCTTTCTCCGAAGTCAACGAAAACTTTCCGAAGCTGTACTGAACATTGAACACAACAGTGCTAAGCATGTTGTTGATGAGAACAAATGAGTTTTTGAAAAATCGAATTTTTCTGTAAACCCCAAATTTCGACCTGTGGTTCATCGCAAATTTCATAACTCCGATACTTCACTTGTTCTTATCAGCAACATGCTAAGCAGTTTTGGGTAGATAATCTGCACAACTTTGGAAACTTTTCGTTAACTTTAAAGAAAGAAAAATGACTTTAAAGAAAAGTGCCGGGGATCACCAGGGATCATACTAAAGCTTGAAAATGCGGTTCGTACAGCTTCTCGCTCCTCTTCAACATGTTTATAGTGAAGGGTAGTAGGAATACTTACGGATAGGTACAAAACGTGAAATCCAGGTATCTGTAGTTCCAAAATATAAAGCTTTCCTTTAAGGGCCGTATGCACTAACATCCCCGCGGGGAGGGGATCGCAGCTTAAAAGAAAGCTTTATATTTCGAAACTCCAGATACCTGGATTTCACGTTGTGTACCTATCCGTAAGTATTCCTACTATCCTTTACTATGAACATGTTGAACAGGAGCGAGAAGCTGTACAAACCGCATTTTCCAGCTTTTGTATGATCCCTGATGATCCCCGGCGCTTTTCTTTTAAGTCATTTTTCTTTCTCCGAAGTCAACGAAAACCTTCCGTTGTACTGAACTTCAACACAACAGTGCTAAGCATGTTGTTGATGAGAACAAATGAGTTTTTGAAAAATCGAATTTTTCTGTAAACCCCAAATTTCGACCTGTGGTTCATCGCAAATTTCATGACTTCAAAACATCATTTGTTCTTATCAGCAACATGCTTAGCACTGTTGTGTTAGATGTTCATTACAACTTTGGAAGGTTTTCGTTAACTTCGAAGAAAGAAAAATGACTTTAAGGAAAAGCGCCGGGGATCATCAGGGATCACACAAAAGCTGGAAAATGCGGTTCGTACAGCTTCTCGCTCCTCTTCAACATGTTCATAGTGAAGGGTATCAGGAATACTTACGGATGGGTACACAACGTAAAATCCAGGTTTCTGGAGTTTCGAAATATAAAGCTTTCTTTCAAACTGCGATCCCCTCCCTGCGAGGAGGATAGTGCATGCGGCCCTAAGAGTTCCTTCATATTACGCCGCAGCACGCCGCGTGCTGCGGGTAGTATGAAGGAACCCTAGACTCTGTACATCAGGCTAATTGCCGTTATTGGCAAGTGATGACCTCATTCTAAGTTGCGACAAGTCTTTCGTAAAGGTAAGTTTCTTCACCTAGCTTTTAGCTGCCACCTCCTACCTTGGCACTGATCACAACAAGCACTCTGCTTTGTACATAGCTTATAATTCATAGAGTTTGCTAATTTTCAGATTCAAAACTGGTTAAACGGAAAAGAGGGTAACATTCGTGCGCTTCTGGCTTCTCTTAATGATGTGCTATGGGAAGGAGCAGGGCAGTGGCCACACCATCGTATGGCAGAATTACTCAGCAGAAATCAAGTAAAAATTTGTTGCTTTTGGAGCTGCTAATCTACCTTTAGTGGGAGTTGTTTAGGTCAAGAAATGTTACCATCGTTCATGCCTGTTGGTGCATCCTGATAAGCATGTTGGACAGGAACACGAAGAGCTTGCAAGAGCTATCTTCACCGAACTTAATGAAGCCTGGAACGTCTTTGCGCAGAGTATTCACTACTCAAGCTGATGTCTTACATCTTTGTAGAAATAACTCGCTGTCTATGGACCGTAAAACCCATTATAGAATGTTGGTCTAAGAGCGTGATAACTCTGTATGCAACTATGCATTGGTATACCCACTTTTTATTGAAAGTTCAAGTAACGTACTTTTATCGAAGAAGGGTGGCAATGGATCTTGTGGACTGGCAAACGATCCCGTTCTGGTCATAATAAACATGATAAATAGATCTGCTGTTTCCATGTCTTACGCCAAAGTTAATCAACTTGCTGTAGTAGTTTTGTTCAAGATTGATTTTATGAAATATGTATAATGCCTCATCTCTCTCAAATGTAGGGTGTCTCAAAAAATGTGCAGCTGTTTGTTTTTAATCTCTTTTGTATCAATGTTTCTTGGGGCTGGCAAGCTGCAACTCAAACTTACAATATACGGCGAATCAACGGTTATCTTCTTATAACTGATTACTAGGAACTTTGGACTGGTTTCTAGGCTTCTGGCGGCCAAAAAATTTGAAGAAAAATTCCTCAGAAACTTGAGAAAGGCGCATTTAGGGTTTTGTCTGAATAGTAGTACTAACGCAGCGTTGATGGGGCGTTTGTTGCGATGAATAGATACGGAGAAAATTTGTCCCGGAGACTTATTTGAAGACAAAGAATGTTGCCGGAAGTGCAAAGAGCATTTACGAGGGAATATCCAGCGCCGACGCCAGAGTCACACGATTTACCACATTCATTAGAAAATAGGAACAGAATCTGCTCTACAAAATTGTCACAAGGATCCTGGAAAGCGAATGTTTCTTCTGATCCAGAGATAAGATGAAGTACTGAAGTATTTCGCAAAAAAGAAAGTCGGGAAAGTTGGTGCGACGTAAATCGAGTGTCTCAAATTTTCCGTGCACCAAAACTGAAGCGTACAAACGGAAAAGTTATATCCCAAGAATAGTCCAAGCACTTGACGCTGATGATAGTCCACGCTCAGTCCAGTTTTGCAGATGGTACCTAGAAAACGCCGCAGCTGATGCTCCATTCTCTGACAAGATCATTTGGGGCGATGAAGCCACCTTCAAACTGAACGACATGGTTAACCGACACTGCTTATATTTTGCCCCAGAAAATCCACACGTACTGTATCTAAGCATCTGAACTTACCTGGAGTTGAAGTTTGGTGCGGACCTTCCTCAACTGAGCTTATTGGGCCTTTCTTCTTCGATTCTGCCGTCACCGGAGCTGCCCAATTTGACCTCCTTTAGGAACATGTGGTCGCGCTCTTGCAGTAAATGTTTCTAGAACTAACTTTTCATTTTTAGTAGGACGGAGCTTCAGCTCACTTTCACCATGATGTCATTAGATATTTGGATGCCACTTTCCCACAACGATGAACTAGGCGGGTAGTTTAAAGGCAGTGTCCGGGCAAAAACTCGACTTCTAGAAAATCCACTTACCGGGGTTATCCGCAGTGCTGAATCCAAAAATCCACATTAGAAGGAGCCAAAACGGCGAGAACATTCGTTTTCCAAAGACGCACGATTTGAAATTCGACGGTACCCACCAAGGCAGAGACGTGGAGTCGCTGCGGGACCCTCCATTCTAACTGTGGCGGCATGCGTACTCTGCCGCATAGCAGGAATCGGTCAGCTCGGAGGACCCCGCCCCAAGACGTAAGTTTCCCCACTTTCCGATCGTTTTTCTTGCTTTAGGTCGAACGTTACGACGTCGCACTTGCACGATGTTGTGTCTGAGGAGGGCCACTCTCGCATGACACTGAAATCTCAAAACCCCCATCGTGCCAGGACACTGCCTTTGATGTGCCGCCAATGTCGGCACCTTCCTAATAACCATATCTTTACTCTCACCGAAGCATCTTACAGGTCATGCTATAAGTATGACCTGCTGTGATAGTCTGTTACGTTAGCCTACCACGCCTATTATCTAGAGCATTCTACCGCAGCACCCACGAGTGCAGGTCGCCTGTTCATAAAGCTTATAAGCTAATTTGTTCTACATAACACACTCTACCAGGCGCTATTTCGCCTAAGGCTACTATAAAGCCTACGAAAAACCGATACATTTGAAGGCAGCGTCGGGCATATATGAAATTTCATTGTACAGAGCTGCCGTCCTGGTAAAGCCCTTGCCCAATTGCCAGTGCATTAATTTGCTTCTGAAGCGAGAAAACCGCTTCAGAAGTGGCGACCGGGACGCACCGGCGACCTGCCCGCCCCTTTACTCGATAGCCAGAGTACGTATGCCGCACACAGTCAAGGCGTAAGGTCCCACCACGGCTCTGCGTCTTGATCTCGGCGGCAAGCTTCCACATTCAAAAACCATCAACTTCTAGAATAGCCCATTTTCGACATTTTCATACTTCTGCATTTTCGCAATCAGCGGGAAGAATAAGCTCAGATAAGCGAATAAAAATTCTGTTCGAAATTTTGCCCTGATGCTGCCTTTAAAGGCAGCATCAGGGCAAAATTTTTTCCACCCAAAATGGAGTCGACGAGATTTTGATGGAAACAGTAGTGGGACTCGGAAGTGTATAACTATCCAACTCGCGCTGGATGTTCGTCCCGCCCATCCATGCGCCCCCAGTCAATCACCGTTCCGGATTGCTTTGCGGATTCCGAATACGGGGGTTTTTCGTGGTTTTCGTTTGCTTAAAGGCACCGTCCACCCAAAATTTCGACCTCCATGTTTTTGCCGTTCCAGGGCCTTCTCATACCCCTGATTCCGAATATTAAGTCGAAAATCCGCAAAAACCACGAAAAACCCCCGTTTTCAGAACCCGCAGTGCGATTTCTTCGGTACGGTGATTGGTCGGGCGCGCACGGATGGGCGGGACGAACGTCACGCCCACACAGAAAGGGGAGGAGCCAGCGCCACGAACGTGGCCTGAAGCGATCCGAAGCAATTTTCTCGGTTCGGAAGCAACTTCAGCCAGCTCGAGTTGGGCAATTATACAGTTGGGGGCTCCGCATCTGCCAGGTATCATAATCTCGCCAACCCCAATTTAGGTGGATGGTGCCTTTAAAAGGCAGGGCTGCTTATATCATATACTCCGAAAAGTCCACCACGATGCAACGGCTCAAAAATACCATTGAGAGGAAATGTCGTGAGATACCGGCTTGCATTTTGAATGAAGCCTGTGCTTTGGTGGCAGGGAGATGTCAACAATGCCTGGCAAACCACGGTCGACATTTTGAGCATTTACGTTACAAACTACTCCTAAATTGACTGGTACTTCTTTTTCAGTATTTTGTACCCAATAAAAAATTAGGAGGACATTTTTGTTAAATCATACTTCCGTACTTGTTATGTTTACTCTTTCCTAAACAAATGTTGTGTTTGTACTATAAATTATTTAGATCAAGTAGATCTTCAATTTAGACATATTTTTCACAGTTTGTTATGATAAAATGCTACGCTATTTGATAATCTTTGAAAGGCACATCAAAGCCCAGTTAGCGCACCGTAATCTCTGGAAAATTGGTGTAGTAAGTTGCCAGTGATGTTTTTAGATGCAGCCTAAAAGTTTGACATCTTTAAAATTTCCGGAAACTTTTTAGCTTGACCACACCTAAGCACGACCACTAATGCAAAGGGACTAGTACCACACTGACACTCAAAATCTGTTCAGGAGTTTTCATGTGATCTCAAAGATCCAAGCTAAGTTTTCGTTACGATGCAGATACTCCTACGGTAGGTTACGATAAAAGACAATGTCTTAGCAAAGCTCTGCTTTCTTTAAAACCTCAATGCGCCTTTCTCAAGTTTCTAGGGAATTTTTTCTGCACGTTTTCTGTCCGCTAAAGGTCTAAAAACTAGTCCAGAATTCCTATCGTAATCCTACCGTAATAAGAAGTGACCGGTGATTTGCCATATATCGTAAGTTAAAGCTAAAGTCAGCCCTTTCATAAGGTACCTTGGAAGCCGTAAGAAACATTGATACAAAAGAGTTATTCAGAACCAAACAACGTGCACATTCTTTCCATTCTTTCACATTCTTTCTTCTTTCATTTTATTCCATTCAAATTAGCACACAGGGTACACCAGAGAATAATAAGCACAACCAAGCAAACCAAACAAGATCCCTGAAGTACATGCTAAGAAACAGACACACAAAAAATATTTCTGAACCTGCAGTGATTCTACAAAAATTTCTGAAAACTACACTACAACTCTTTCAATAAGACTTTTGATAGGTCTCGATCGCTCAAACCAGAAATAAGAGTAGGATAATTTAGGAGAAGAGCAAAAGGTCAAACTTTTCTTGTCAGACAAGGTAAGAGACAGAGAATAGGAAAATCTTTCAAAGAGATAAAGCCGACAAGATTTTATATGGGAACCTGAGCTGATTAAACTGACTGTTTTGACCAGGAATGTCAGTTGACTTCATTTATTGAATTTATGGTTTATATAAGACCTTCGGTGGAATATGAAACTCTAATCTTCCCATCGAAGGCACATACTGGAAAGAGTGTGAAGCAAGGAATTTGCTGATTAGAATTAAATGTCTCAAATATGAACTTTCACCCAGTGGTAAGAACAGCTCAAAAAGTATTATACAGTGCTGGCCAAAAGTTTGCAGCCACCCTGAAAAATACAAGTAATTCACTTGGCATTCTACATAATGAACCCAAATTATAGTATTATGTGCAGATTACTCTGCTTTGCAATGTAGCAGAATATCTTGCGATTTAATGCACACAAAAGGTGATTTTGAGATATTGGCCGAAATGAGGTTGGTCAAAACTTGCAGCCACTTTTTGTTAATCATCTTTGTAGAAGTTCCTAAACTTCCAATACTTGTGCTACGGATGTATTCATAATTGCTGGAATGTGTCCGAGGATCAGTTCCATCATACTACAAGAAAGGAGACTCTATGGGCCAAAATGGTTTGACCGCAAGTTGACTATGAAAATCGAAAAAAACGTCAAGTTGCAAACAAATAATTGACATGTACATAATTGACATGCTCTATAAAAAAGTTTTACCAATCAAACGTCTGAAATAATTTAGATTGTGCGACAGAACAAGCATTACTTGGCTTAAATGCAACCTGATTGTCACCTTTGCTCGGATTTGGCGCATTTTGCAGCTCAGAGGCGCAGCGGTCTGCAAGATACTCAAACTCAATGACATGATTGTTACAAAGATAAACGTTTGGT